ACACACACACACACACACACACACACACACACACACAATTTTTGCCTTACTATGTGTACTTCAATCTCACACATCACTTTGGCTTTGCCATTTATCTGTTGTAATCTATTTCTGGACAAGTTTTTGAGAAATCAAAAAAAAAATTTGGCCACAGTCATGCTAATGAATGATGCCGCCTTTCAGTAATACCTTGTGCTATTCATTGCTTTCAGAATAAATGAAAATTCTCTACCTGTGATATTTGTTGTTACATTTTCTTTTTTTGTATACTAACGAGTCTCTACTTATTTCCCCAAAACTTTTCACAGCCTTTAGTCCAGAAACATCACAGAGAACTCCTGGTAAATGTAGCATAAGAAATACAAGTAACAAAGTTATTTATGTCCTCTTAAGCTAGTTGGTGGGTGTCATATTAATTAATTGATTTCTGTAAAAAAGGAAAGAGGGGCCTCTGAATGGCTCAGTTGATTAAACATCCAACTTTGGCTCAGGTCATGATCTTGTGGTTCACAGGTTCAAGCCCCGTGTTGGGTTCTGTGCTGACAACTCAAAGCCTGGAGCCTTCTTCAGATTCTGTGTCTCCCTCTCTTTCTGTTCCACCTCCCCAGTCGGAGTCGTTTAAACAAAGATTAAAACAACAAAAAAAAAATTATAAGAAAAAAAGGCAAAGAATCTTCATTTTTTCTTCTGCTTCAAAAATTGGGTTCCTTTTTAAATTTTCTTCCTGAAAGAAAAGAATTCTTTTTGTTCTGTAGAATAAGAAATCTATTGTATCGTCTTTTTATAAGTCCAGATATTGTAACCAAACTGTACTCAGCATGAAGTATCATTTACATACTGCCAATTTGAAACACATTGGAAGGTTTGTTATCTTTCAGAATACTTAAATAATATTTTTATTTAATTGGCTCAGTATCTGATAAAATCCAAGATTACTTTTTGGCTTCTTTGATTTGCTAAACAAAATAGACTAAATTTCATATGTAAACCAATTTGTTCACCAACAATAGGTGCTACCAAATAAAAGGAACATCATATGAATACTTGTGGCCCTTTTTAGACCATACATTCAATTCCTATTTTTTTTAAAAGAGTATCAGATCCAGCAAACCTGAGAAATCCAAAACTAAGAGCTCAGACCTGGTTATAGGTCCATGGGTCTTTTGCCTCTTCCCACTTCCTTGGATGAAACTGACTATCCTGTATGAAAACAAAATGGCAGATGACAAGACACTCTGACAAACCTCAGAGAGGCTACCCTGACCTCCCCTTAAAGCAGTATGTCCCCAGGTACTAGGAGCAATCTTCAGAATATTGAGTGGTGGGGAAAATAGTTAAAAAATCAACAACGAACATCAGAATTCTCATTTTTTGTGATTCATGGAAAGGATGTGGGGTGATTGAGCTTTACTGTAATAAACCATAGAACCAGACTGTTCACCAGCGAGAGAACAACTTTTACAGTAAAAGACATTTATTTACTATTTTAAATGGTTATATTCAGCATGGCCTTTGATATTACCTATTTTATTGCAGCCCCAGAACCTCAGACTCTACCACCATCACAGTCAACAATAGGTAATGAAGTTTCCTTTACTGAGTGGAAAACAAAACAAAACAAAACAAAAAGACCCACCTCTCTTTCTTTAGCACCTTTTATGTTGAACGTTGTCATTAGCTTGGGTTTTTAAAAAAATTATTAATTTTCCTTCAGATTTTTATTTCAGCCATTTTTGTCAGAAGATACACTCTTTGTGCTTAACTAAGCCAAGTCTCTGTAACAGCCATGAAAGCCAGACTGGTTTTGATTTGACACATTCTGTGTTGTCTCTTCTTATATTTGAGTAATATTTCCTGAGCTTGTTTTAACCTGGCTGTTTCCAGTGGAAGACATTGGTTTCCCTCTACTTGTAGATATTTTTGTGTTTTTACTTATAGAGGTGTTTTTCTTACTTTCAAAATTCGAACATTTGCAGATTTTCTTGAAAAGCATTATGATCTTTCCCGGTCTATCCTGATGTGTCCTCGGCAATTCATTAAGAGAAATAGAAAAACTCACCCCAATGTTTATAGCTTCTTTTTCTTCAAAGAGAGCAAAAATTGTGTTCTGCTGGTGCTATCTTAGCCAATGACCCATATTTTCCTTTATAACACAAACTGTTGGTTACTTTATTGCATTCTTACCTTCCAAATGAGAATCATGCCCTCTTTTGTTTTTTCCATTTTTCTCTCCAAACTTAACGGACTACATTTTTGTTCATTTTGTCTAAAAACACAGGAACCTATTAAATAAAAAAGGAATGTCTTATATGGATAAAAGTTTCACCATTTACATATAATTGCTCAACTTTAGAAATTAGAATTTTTCATATCTAATTAGACTTTATAGTTTTTCCTTTGATATTGATTCCTTCCTGATGATTTTCATGTACTCTTAGGACCTGAAACTCCGGAAACCAAACCTTCAACAACATTAGGTAATACAGTTATTTGAGTGAGTGACCTTTATTTCCTCTTTTCCTGACTGCTGGTATTTTTATTAACAGGCTCACATTAATGGATTAATCCATGGATACCTGTTTGTGTTCTTTGCTCTTACTTGCAGAGAAAAAAATTTAAATTCTATAGTGTTATAAACTATATTTCATTTTTAAGAAGTTGCCTTTCCTGAAACAATCTCTGAATTCAAAGACTTTTTATACATACTGTTAACTTGTAAACTTTTAATGCTAAATGAAAAACTTCTTTTGAATCTTAGGCCAAATAAATTTTAATTTGTATCCCTAGTGGCTCCTTAAAGGTACATTTCTCATGTTCCTGTTAAACATACACCTTCAAAATTTTTAGGAGACTGTCTTCTCTAAGCTGTACAGACTTTTGAGTTTTCCATCTCAAAATGGAATAGGGAAAATTTAATCAAAAAAATATTATTCAAGACCTCAGTTAACTGGGTAAATGATGATAGAAAGTTGCAAAACAGAAGAATATCTACTCATAATAAACCAAAGGACTTAAATGTGCTTCTAAGATACATGTAGTATTGATTGTCAGTTTTTTGAGCTACTGCTCCTATATTAACTAGCTAATTGTCTTTCTTCAGCTTCACCAAAGACCAAACGACCAGGTCGTCGCCCCCGCCCTAAAACCACACCTAGTCCAGATGTGCCCAAGTCCAAACCTGGTAAATGTGATGCTGAGGGTTCCAGTTAACATAGAAAATGTAATATATGGTAGCTTCTGATAAAGTAGCTACCTATTACCTAAATAGCTGGACTTTAAGAACCAGTATAGTTGACTTTCATATTTAAGCATCTGTACATTCTATACTTACCGTATATTTTTATGTATTTGTAACTATTAGGTACACACACAGTCAGCTGGCCCACTAAATGGATTATTAAAGTAGGGCACCCTAAAAGTTTGTCGTAGGATGCATATTTATGGCAGATGAGGTGTGGGAAAGGAAGGGGAAGAGGGGTAAATGGGAAGAGTGAAAGGGAAAATCACATTCCCTTTCTTAGGGATGAGGAGTTTAAGAGTGGGGATTAATGTTTCCTTCCTCGAGATGCTGCTTCTTGATATAATTAGTATTCTTGCCTTTTGCTTCCATAGCTCTGGAACCTGCTACGGTACAACCGGAGCTCTTGGTGCCCACAGTCGGTAATTCTCCTCTCCTCCAGTTGCTTTCACGGAATGTCACTTTGGCTCTTCTTATTCTCCACCAGGCATGACTGCAGGGCCACTGCACCATCACAGTTTCATTCCATGCTTTTCCTCATGTTTTCTCTCTGGGTCTGAAGAGCCTGAAGATAGGAGACTTCTTCTAGAAGAATCCTACCTGTGTGCTTCTTTAAGGAAGGTCTGTGGCCTTGGACACAACTTCCTGCTTCTCCACAAACTCTTTGTCTCTCTATGTCCTTCTGTTGAGAAAACCTTCCACTTCTTCTCAGACAGGGACTTCCCTGCTCATCCTGGGCTTGGCAAATGGCAAGATTTTGTTCTGGTGCCATAATTGTCATTTCATTGCTTTACTCATTCCACTTGTAAGACTTTTGCCCTCTTAAAAAGCTGCATGAAATAATGGCTTCTTCAGCTTTCTGTTTCTTGCAGAATTTTTGTGAGTATATTTTGATAACTAGAACATAAACACTATTTTTGGTCTAGGGTCCAATATAAAATTAGTGTGGTCTTTGTAACTTAAGAACATTATAAGTCCCAAACTTGTTTTATTGTTTTTGGTACTAATGCTGTTTGACTGTTGTTAGTTCAATACCATTTCTCAGCATTCACAAAAACTGTGCTTTACTTTGGAAAATTCCAGAACTCTGTAGCCATGTAAACTTCTGTATAATTTAAAGTGTGTATGGATTATTTCCCAGGTCTCCTACTAAACAAGATTCAAATTTCTACACTACTACTTATATGCTTTAAAAAACCTTACAATTAAGAAATACAACTATTATACTTGTGATCTCTGAAATTATAAAGAAAAAAGTCTTACTGTAGTTCTCATTACTTTGCTCAAAGGCACATTTTGAACATTTCCTAAAGATTTTTCCTTTTGGAAAAATTGGTACAAATGGACATATTTCCCATCCTTCATACACCCCAGGAATTAATTTTATTGTATATTCAGTGAATTTATATAGTGTTTTTGCTCAAGTGTATGTGTCTTTAATTATGATAGTTACAGCCATGATCATTATGCTAATTTTTAATACCTTTTTCTTTAGCATCAAAACCATCCAAAAGACCTAAAACCACACATAGACCAGATGCACCTCAAATCCAGCCTGGTAATCACTACTTTCACTGCCTTGATCTAAAACTAGGAAAATGGTGTGTAAGTAACATTAATCTTGATATTCACAGCCCTGCTATGACACTAATTATAGCACCTTTTTCTCTTCAGATTCAAAACCACCAAAGCAATTACTTCCTAAACCCCAAACCACAGCACAACCAGATATGCCACCAACTAAACCCGGTAAACATAATTTCTAGTGCTTTAGTTTAAGAAGTTTATTCTGGGGAATGTTGTTGAAAATATTTATAATTTGTTATACCATATAAAGCATAAAAACCCAATATTATGATTTGGCTCATTATCTTTTCAAAGTAACCATACCAGTTAAATGAACAATCAATGTGTAAGAAGTTAGTTTTACATCTGATAGTCTGACAGATTACATTTTCTTAACATTTTTAGGCTCTGTTTTATGAATTTGGGTATGTGATGAACAGAAGCCTGGTTTTTCTGTATCTGGAACATAGTTGGAAGTGATTTTAGCATTCACCACTAGATAGGACCAGGAAGGCTGACAATGTGTTCTTGTTTTAAAGGCATGTAATCAAGGATTGGCTTCATCTAAAATACCTTGATGGCATTTTAAACAGTAACTATTAACTAAGTGATTTCCTACCAAATAAGAAGATTTTTATATAACAGTACTAAAAAATTCAACTGTTTTGCAATTGAGATTTTCTCCTAAGTTTCCAATTAGTATAAAATTCTAATTTAGTAAGAGAGTATCTCATAATAAATAAAGTTATGAAGAAAGCAATTTATATCAACTTAGAATAAACCAGGTTCTGTATCCTATGAATTAAGCATCAGGGAGCACCTAAAACTTTAGATTTCTTTACTTTTATTATATCTGTTTATTTTTCATGATAGTCTTTGATCCTGCTACATTTGAGACTGAAGCTCCCTCCACAACCATAGGTAATGATGTCTTCCTTCTTGGTCAGTGTTTCTCTGGGCCTCTCCCTCTCATGTCAGTGGCTGTATTCTCTTACGTAAACAATTGTAATTCATCATTTTTTCATTCATTTCCACAAACTGTTGATTGTTTTTAACGGGCAACTTTCAACATCATAAGGCATTCTTATGTCTGCTCAGTTTATAATCCCTGTATGTCATTCTTCCTTTGATCCCCTTCAAAGACATTCAGATTGCTGGCAGCACTTGATGCTGTCAAGGGTCACTGGGGCTGAGAGACCATCCATCCTGCAAACCAGGAAATCTTTGAGAGTTCTGCTTTCATGTGTGTATAAGTTATGGTTATGGGAGAGGAGCAGTTAACAATGTGGTTGGAGCTTGAGGCAATACATAATTGTCTCTTTCTTGCAAAAGTCCTTTCCTCTTTGATTCCATGCTATCCAAATACACCTGAACATTTGTTGACAAATTCATCTTGTCATCATGACGAATTCATACACCTGTTGACAAATTCATCTTGTGCTGATTTCCAAGCAAAATACCAATTCCCTTTTTTGTTTGAAGGCAACCCGTTTTGAATATTGCTTCATCCTGTTGTCCTCGCCTACTACATCTCTTCTGTAGGCACAGATTTCCATTAATTCAGAAGAGTTCGTCAGATGTGGCTTCAAGCAACTCTGCAGTGATGTCTTAGCAAAAGGGAATCTCTATATAAGTGCTTACAGCATGTTCATGATAAGATGTTTATGTTACATTTAGTCTTCTGGACTTAATGACAAATAGAGATGGTAATTTAAATCCAAGGAGTTATAAATCACAATTTCACATGTATGCATAATTCGATCATTTTAGAATGTTACAGAATTATAGGAATCCTTTTTATAGAGCCTAAAAGTCAAATTATTACTCTTGAGATTTTTTTCTTAATCATTTCTATTGCTTGTTTGAATACTCATCTCCTAATTATTCATTTAACATAAGTGAATAAAAAAGGAGAAATAGAGAAAGAGTACCCCATTTCACATGGGGAAAAGGCACAAGTTTATGTTTTGCATAACTGTCACACGTCTCCAATAAACAGACTAATTGAGAATATTTTTAAAAATTCTCCTCACTACCATAATTCTTCAAAACAAATAACAGTTGTAGTGAAAGCCTTCGAAATACTAACAGAAGCTTTTACAGTTTTTCAGAGTAATTTAAAATACATAGTAGCCAACTGACATGTTTTTGGAGCCAAGTTTCCAATATAGTTGGAGTCAAATAATTAAATACAGGAAAAAGCTTTCCATTGGCCTCATAGGGATGCAGAATACAAGAGGAATGTCTTTTTTTGTGAGTTGTATGAATGCCAGAGTACAGCCAAATACCATTTTAACAGCGTTCAGAAATGCTTTCAAAACATTACAGGGTAAAGAAAATACATTTTGAAGATAATTTTCTTTCCTTTTCTACATTTCTTAAATCTCCATTGTTTATTGTATTGCTTTTGGCCAGTTCCCGCTACAGACCTTGAACCCGTAACTCTGAGAACTGAAGCTCCCAGGACAACATTGGGTAATGACTTTTTATGTCCTTAACCAAGTGCATTTTCCACTTGTCCAGGCTATTTCATTACTATCTTGGTCAAGTGGTGTTCTTTTTTCTAAGATTTTCTCATTGCCCTCTCTTATCACTCAACTATATTCTTCATTTTGAATATTGAAGATGTTTAATATAAGTTATGTGATTAGTCACTTGGTTAAACCTGTATGCAGCTGGTACACGGCATCTGTCTTCCATATTATCCAGCTTTATTAGCGCTTCACAGAACCTGTGATTCTGCCCCGTGTTCTGTGGTAAAGCTAAATTTCAAATACAATTAGGAGTGGCTGCTCCATAAACATCAATGTTAATTCTATGGACATCAACCGAAAGTTGTTTTAAGATAGGGCATTTTTATGGTTTACCAATGATTTTAAGAAGTTAAATTTGTTTATTCTAATGTTTAATGGGATGTATGTCTAAGCCAAATAATTTCTAAATATGATCTCACAAAAGCAGGTGAGCCTGGGTCCATCTCCGATATGGACATGCTGTATTTCTGGTTTCCCTGGAGTCAGGATCCTTATTGAAAATCTGACGCCAATAATAATAAGCTTTTCAGATTATTAGAATAATGTTATATAATCCTTCTCAGAGAACTGTCAGCGGACAACTCCCCCCCCCCACCAATTTTTTTTGCATACAGATGACAAAATTCCAAAACAAAAGAGACAAATTTATTAAGACTTAGGAAATTTAGCCAAATTTTACAAAATCTAGAGCTGTGTATCATCCTTTCTTGAGTTTCTGGAGTCATAAGACAACATTAACCAGTTTCCTTCCTCCAGCTCCAAAAACAACACAACGGACAAGAACACGTCGTCCACGTCCAAAACATAAAACCACACAGAGCCCAGCGGTATCTCAGACTAAACTAGGTAAATATGTGGTTCCTGGTACCTGTGGAACCCCTTGGATGTGATACGTGCATGACAGTTTAACTTGCCACCTAATAGCTCTGGTGACCCTTCATTGTGAAGGCCGAAGTCACAAGAGCTCTAGTTAATAATCATGACTGCCTTGTGCTGCTTGGTATCTTCTTGGTACCTTTGTATTTTATTTGCTTTCTCTGAAAAATTATATTTTTCTCTTTGATTCTGGTTTATCAAAAACTTAGTTAAGTAACTAGCATATTTAGTTCACTTAGTCACACATTTTACTAAGTGTTCCATTAGCCTCTGTGAAAAATAGTTCAGAAGTAACAGATCACTTGGCTGAGGAAGGAAGTTTCTTATGTAGAAACTGTTCACTAATAGATGTAAAGGAATATGGGCAGAAGCAATATATCTACTGGGCTTTACCAACTGTTAGGCACATAGTTAATTCTTAGAGAAATAAAAGATCCGTGAGCTGGTAAGTGTAATGTGGACCTCAAAATTTATACAGTTTGTAGACCTGTTGCTGGGATAGGCAGGAATAGCATAAACAGAGGCTGGAAGGTACTATATATGTGGGTGACAGCAGAAGATCGGAATTAGGAGGGCAACCTGAATGGGAGAAAGGAGGAAGACAATGTTCACTTAGCTGATTCTCAGAAATTTTGATCAGTGATGCTACTTTTAGATGGGTCCATAAAAAGGACCTTAAATGCCTGACTTCAGTGATTGGATTTAAGCCAATTGGCTACCACATACTCTCCTATCCTCCTGGGGTCAGGTCTTTTCTGTCCTGGTAGCAGAGAAATGCACTGACAAGTTTTGCAGACTGAATGACCCTCTGTATCTTGTTCTTTTATTTATCTTTGGACAGACGTCTTGGTCTTCTTCCAAAGTAGACACTCAACAAAAAGCATCCTCTATTTTGGCTATTCATTATAGTGTCTGCTTAAATATATCAACTATTGCATCTATAATGACCTAGGGATTTTTTCTAATAAATTATACTTTCACATTGTTTTCTCATAATTTTTTACCATAAAATTCCTTGACAAAAGCCTAAAGATTTTTCTAAGTAGGGTTTTTATTGTTGATGTGTTATCAGATAATATTGAAAACAAGCAGAACTTAGAGCTCTGTGGAGATACTGAAGATCTAACTATTTCATAAGAACAAATATCTTTGTACCTTCACCTCAGAACTTTAAAAATGTTGCTTTTTTGCTGTAGAACCAATACCACACTGGTGAAGTTCATTTTGAAGAAAGTTCAATGACTTTTCCCAAGTGTTTAACGTTTCTTTTTAAATTACTTTTGATCATTGCTTGCTAGAGACTCTGAACCCATTACTCCTGGGACATCTATAGGTAGTGATCTTTTATGTCCTTTAGCAAGTGCTTTCTCTTATTCATTGTTAAACTCATTTGTGGTGCTATATAGACAATGATGTCATACTTTGTCATCATCCTATTACAGTATTCATTTTACAATATAAAAGGCTTTTTAAAGATTGTTTATTAAAGATTTTATTTTTTTATTTATTTTGAGAGGAAGAAAGAGAGCACACACAAGCGGGGGAGAGATAGAGAGAGTATCCCAAGCAGGCTCTGTACTGTCAGTTGTCAGATGCAGGGCTCAAACTCAAGAACCATGAGATCATGACCTGAGCTGAAACAGATTTGGCTGCTTAAACCAATGAGCCATGCAAGTGGCCCTAAAAGGCTTTCCTTCTAACAGAAATGTGTATGGACTGAATTCAGCACCACTGTCTGCCCCATATCCCAGCTTCAAATTGTATCATGTCAATCTGAGTCTCCGCTTAAACAATACTGTTTGTTAGAGCTAAGGCCTAAATATGATAGTCTGTATATCCCTTATTTAGACCCCCTATAAGTTATCGGCTATGCCATGATTTTTTTCAGGCATCTTTTTTCTGTATTGCAAGTTCTAACTTTTTTTCACTTTGTAGATGTTTCAGCAAGTTTTGTATGCTTATTCTAGTAAATGACCAAGTGGAATATTTGCCCGAGCCTAGTTATTTTAAATTATAATTAGAAGTGAATACTGTAGTGTGGTTTGAACTCTCACCCCATCATATTTTAGGAGCAATTTGTAACCAGTTTTGGATTAGGGACACTTTCAAAGAAGTGATAGTTCTTAATCTTCTTTTCTTAAACATAATTATATTGTAATTTTTAATCTTGGGAGAACTCAATTAAAAAAGGAAACCTCTTAACATACTAAAGGAGAAAACATCAAACCAAAGTAAAAGTTTTCTCCACTCAAAGAAACTCTGACAAATTTTAGAAAGATTAGTATATCATCTTAATCAGAGTTTATGAGGTATCAACACTATATTAATCCTAAATTTTCTTCCTTCAGCTACAACAACAAAGAGACCTCGTCGTCCACGCCCCAAAACTAAAACCACACCCCATCCAGAAGTACCTCAGACCAAACTGGGTAAATATGTGATTTCTGGTTTAAGGAATCCTAGCAGTCTACCCCAGTTGGGATCCTAAATTCTATGCACATAGTTGGCACATGTTCTATATATCTCTTAAGAGTAAAAGCTGCTGGTTAGTGAGCAGAACTTGAGATACCTGAGTATCTCGTGCTTCCTGTGTAGGAATCTTCTCCAGCAATGACTGTTTTATTTACTTTTCATGCTATTTGATTCCATTCATGTCTTAGGATAAAGCTTGCTCAGTATTGAACCAACACAATCAATTCAAGTGGACTTCTTTTATTAATCCCCTCATAACACCCATAACCATATTAGTAGCTATGAGATACATAAGAAGTGGGAAGTATGTTTTATCCCCTAGTATGTATTACAGTTGTAAACAAAAGCCATTCCTGCATAAACATAGAGAAAATCACATGAGGCAGCCATGTTTATGCAAGTATGTGGCCGGGGGTGGAGTGGGGGGTGGTGGGGGTGGTGGCTGTGTGTCTATATGTATAACTTCTCAGATGGTAGAAATGCTATGTAATGGGTTAATATCTGGAGCAGGACAAGGATCAGGATATTAGAAAGAAACTAGTACAGAGTTTGGGTGAGTGAGTGGGTAAGGGAACAAAGTCTGACAAGCAGAGAATATCTGAAGCTGGCCTCCCAGATACAGAATGATTTCTAGGTGCTCTCCTGTTGAGTGGGCCCATAGGATAACTTTAAAGGAGGCTGAGAGGTGTACTTAAGACTTTAAATTTGACCTACGGGGCTTCAGTGATCCTTCTGCACAGGATCATGCTTTTTCTGCTCTTAAAACTGAGGATACCTAGTTGAATATAATATCAAAAACAGGGGTTCTTTCTCACCTTACTGTATCAAATGCCACTCTTTTCACTAAAGACTTAGTCTCTTGGCTGGTGTAGTATCAGCTTCATTTTGGCTATGTCTGGTATGTGTGGTGAACAGACCCTAAAATGACCCTTTACTCTTCAGCCCCTCATACTTCCTGCCTCTTGGTATTAAAGATGTGCGTAATCCATCTTTTCCCTGCCCTTTCTCCCTTAGAAGGCTTAGAAGCATTTTACTGTTAAGATGAATTTTCTGACATTTCATGCATTCACAAAAATCTCTTTGGTTTCTTTTATTGATTTTTATCAGTTCCTACCACAGTCTTTGAACCAGTTTTTCTTAGAACCGAGGCTCCAGGGACAACACTAGGTAAGGACACATTACATCCATCAGCACCTGCTTTTCCTGCTCATTTGAAACCCACTTCATCACCATCATAACCACAGCTTCTTCTGCTTCATGAGACTTCCATGTCATCCTCTATTGTCTGTTCAGTTATCATTCAGTTACTTCTTTGTCATTCTGTTACTTCTTAATATACTGAGGAGAGTTAAAGCAACTCATCTGTTTTTAAAGGAGCCAAGTATGAACTTAGTCTAGTATATGCATCTGCAATTTAATGCATGTGAAAGTACGGCATCTTAATCCATGTAACCTGTTAATCACATTATTTGTTTGTGAGTTTCAAACATAGGAGGGTTGGGGTGAGAGTGTCTATCCTTGGTCTAAGCTAAGTATTGTCACAGCTGTTACAGTGTGGCATGATTCTTGTGCAGATATAAATTCCTACAATTTTATTATGTGCATCATTTTGTGTTTTTGTTTTGTCATTTTAGGTAATGGTGTGGTCTTCTTTCAGTAAGGGGTGAAATAGAAATGAGCTCAATGATAATCAATTTAAATTATTAGTACCATCATTAGTTGAAATTCACCCTCCATCTTTCCCACCACCACTGTAACTCAGTAAAGTTTTGGAACTTTTATCATTTAGAGATACTTGTGAGAATATCCTTGATATATAAACTCATGTTTCTGTGTGACTTATGTTTTTCAGAGTAATGTAAATGATATAAAGAGGCAATTATCGAAATGGGGGCAAATATATTAAGCTGAAAGGAAAAATTTTCTGAAACTCAAGAAATTAGAAGACATATAATCCTATCCACAGCTTCTGGAACTAAGAACACTCTGTTAACCTGAGGTTTTCTTCCTTTAGCTCCCAAAGTACCTCACCAAACTCACCCTCCACATCCCAAACTTAAAACCACAAGGAGTCCTGAAGCACTTGACACTGAGCTAGGTAAATGTATATATCCTGGTTAAGCCTATCCCAGTGGGGCCCAGAGAAAGTGAAGGGGCAGGTCAAGGTAGATAATGAGAACATGGTTAGAGGGGTTTAGGTGATAGTGAATTTCTCAGGCTTGTGAATGAGAATCTTCTCTCTAAATGTTTATTTGATTTCTCATTCAATTCTTCTTATTCTTGAAATGTTAAATGTGTGTAGTGGAATGAAATAGGTACAGAATGAATATATGTTTGGGTAAATGGGAAATTGTTTCTTGGTAACTACAAAGTCAAGTCCAAGTCATAAGGATCTAGGGTAGGAATTGGCATTTTCTATAAAGGGCTTGAGAGCAAATATTTGGGACTTTGTGAGTCATGTAGTTTCTGTTGAACATTTTTATTTTTTTCCTTTTTAATTTTACAACACTTAAAAAATGGCAAAATAATTCTTAGCTTTACATGGAATATATGAAAATAAGCTATGGGCAAGATTTGGTCTATGGGCCATCGTTGGTCAACCGTTGATTTAAAGAATCAATAATCAGAGTAGGCCAGAATAGTTGGGAAGGACTGAGCATTGAAATCACTATAGATTTAGATGGCTGGGGACAAAGGGGATGGAGAAGTACATAAAGGAAGGACACGTGTGGAGGGCCAGTGAGGGAAGGCAGAGGCTTTTCTCACCAGTTGAAACTCTAGGGCTTCTTAGTTTGATCAGAAAGGGCATTTTTCTGAGGCTACTGTAGCTAAATGGGCCCAAAGGACCAGTTGAAAGGTATTTTTAATGTTGGCCTAAGGAGTTTGAATTCATTTAGTAATGATCAATGTTTGTATATAGTCAGGCTTTGCCTGAGCATTGGACAGAGAGCTACCCTGCTATACCTCAGACTGAATGCCCGTCCCTTCTCCTGTTCTCTTAAGTATTCTGGTAGGCAAAGCTCACTGTCTCTTTCCAAAGACGAGTTCTTAGCAAGATTGATGTGGTCTATTTTGGTACATTACTTAGACTAGGATTATCAAAGAGTGAGACACTACAGGGGCACCTTACAGGGATAATTATCTACTACAAAGACCACTCCTACTATGTGATGAATTGGTACCCGCGTGCAGAGATGCCGTATCTCTCAGCTCAGAAAGTGAATAGTTTTTGCTTTGTACTCTAGACACATTAGTACTTAGGTACAATTAATTTTGCAGTTCTGAGATTGTATAAATATTTAACATTTCATTTTTGTTTTTTATTATTTTTGGTCAGTTCCTGCTATAATCTTTGAACCAGTCACTCCTATGAAAGAGACTCCAGGGACCATATTTGGTAATGCCATTTTCTGACCTTCAGCAAGAGCTTTTTCTGCTCATTGTCAAACTGATTCCACTTGTCATTCAACTACATTCTTTATCTTATGAGTTGAACATAAGGCCCAAAATGATGCTTCACTCTCTTGTTCTTAAGAGAGTCATGCCTGAATCTAGTTGGGGATATCTTTTTGCCCTGTAACTTACTTTAAAATTTTTTCATGCCACCTTCTGTTTTTGTCTTAATCTGAGTTCTCTGTTAAGGCAAATATCATATGTTCATGTGAGCACCTAATCCTGATCTGTGCTAACCAGGCTATGACAGGGAAGTTGCTTTATATATCCTTTGTAGTACTTTTTATCTGCCTGTTTGTTTTTGTTGTTGTTGTTAACTTTTGAGTAATATGTTTTTAGTGAATTGTCAATCAGATAATGTGATCAAGGACAGTAAGTTTAAATAGTAAGCCCCATCCTTAGGGTGAATCTGACTACCCCTTACTCACCACCATAGTTTAGAAATAGATGATTCTTAATCTTTTAAATGCAGTCAGGGTACTCTAGGAGAATGTGATAAAGGGGTTCCTGACTGGCTCAGTTGGTGGACTGTGCAACTCTTGATCTTGGGGCTACAGGTTTGAGCCCCACATTGGGTGTAGAGAGTAAAAACAAATTTAAATATTTTTAAAATATATGATAAAAATACTAATATTGACTCTCTGCATTAATAACTTCATGTTTATGTCATTTTGACCCCCAAATATCTTCAATAACAAAGGAAGATACAGGAACATAGTAGGGGCAAATTTTTCACACTAGAAATGTATATATTTTATGCAATTCAAGACAAATCTGTCAAGCTTTAGAAAACATTTTTTTTTTTTAACTTCATGATTTGTAGAACCATCAACTTTAAAGGTTATCTTTTTCCACCTCCAAAGACATCCCAGTGGGAATGTCATTCATAAACCAAACTTAAAACCACTCCAAGTCCTTTAAGATCCTGGGACTGCACCAGATAAAAACTGAGTCCTTTGTTTCAGAAGCCTGAGCTTTCTATGAAAGCTTTGTTTCATAGCCTTACCTATTAGAAGTGTAAACCCACATAACCCTCTGATGAGGGAATCATGAAGAGTCCTTTCCCGTTCAGTGTTGGTGAGAAGTACATGTTTGGAAGATACATAATTTTCCTCTTGCTCAGGGTAGAAGGAAACATGTTTTACTTAGTCTTCAGGCTAGTGGAACACAAAAACTTTTCTTGCATAAAAAGCCTAGAGAAGGGAAATAAGGCAGGGTGCTTTCACAAATTCAAGGTTTTTGTTGGGTACATCAAGTGCTAGACTGATTATGTAAGTTATTGAAGAAGTAAAGCATCATTTTGGGCCTCAGTAGATCAGGGAAGGAGTTTGGGTCGTGACATCACATCAGAATTTGCACAAGTGGACAGGTGAGAGAGAACAAAGAAAAAAAAAAATAGGACACGTTTAGAGGCCACCAGAGGGGCAGAGGTTCTGGGGCTTTGAAGCATCTGTCAAAACATTTTGTTGGTGATTCTGCATTTGGATAATACCACAGGAAGTTGAAGGAGGGCTTGAATGTTGCACTCAGGAGTCCAAAGTTGTTCTCATGAGCATCAGAAATCTCTTCTTTCCACACTGGATAAAGTTTTCCCTGCACTGAGTGTGGATGGGTGCTTTACGAGTGCCACAGACTGAGTGGGTGCCCCTTACACAGTCCTCTTGAGTACCTTTCTATAGACACAAGTCACAAAATCTTTCCAAAGATGAGTTCTCAGCAAAGTCTTCATAGCTATTTTTGGTTATTTGTATAACGGCTACTTGGATATTTAGGAATTTTTTCTGCAGCCGTAATTTGATAAACATGGTAGATGTCTTCTTTATTCAACTCCCACTAAAGTGCAAGTTAGTTTTTTACATGCTTTTTCAAGATGGTTAGTAAATGCCTAAAAATGTTCTAGAGTCTACCATATTAGATTCATACAATCCGCTATCTAGTAGAACTGTTTCCCTCTTTTGCTAAACAGAGACCACAGGTAATGACTATCTCAGGAGATGTAGAAGTCCCTAACTACAGTTAAGCCAAATTGGGACAAAATAATGGGTTTTCCTTCATATTAGTTTGCTAAGTCTGCCATAACAAAAGAGACTGGGTGGCTTGAGCAATAGAAATCGATTTCTCACAGCTCTGGAGGCTGGAAATTTAAGATGAATGTATCAATAGTTTTATTATTTCCCAAGGCCTTTCTCCTTGGTTTGTAGATGGTCTCATCTTTCTGCATCCTCACATGGCCTTTCCTCTGTCTGTGAGCATCCCTTGTGTGTCTCCCTATTCTCATATGGTCATGAGTCATATTGTATTAGGGACCTGCCCTTGCAACCCCATTTAACCTTCATTGTCTCTTCAAAGTTCCTATCTCCAAATACAGTGACATTTGGGAGTTAAGGCTTCAACATAAGTATTTGGGAGAAACACAGTACACTCCACATACAGTCCATCTATAAATAAAAATAATAATTCTAGAGGCAATGTTGCACTGGAAAAATACATTTTGAAGTGGATGTTGTAGCTCTTTATACATCTTTAAAAAACTTCTTTTGCTTATTTTATTACTTCAGTTCCTGTTACAGATCTTGAACCTGTTACTGTTAGAACTGAGACATCTGGGACAACATTAGGTAATGATTCTGTGCCATTTGCCAAATGCTTTTGCTGTTCATTGTACATTCCATTCAGTCTCCATCTCCTAGATTTTCCTCCTTCATAAGACAGCCACCATCATCCTCTGTTGCCATTCAATCAATCTGAAGAATACTGAAGCCTCTTAAAAACAAGTTTCTTGTTGTTTTTATGAGAGCAGACATTAGCTTAACTCAAAACATTGCTGCCATTTGGTACGTTTGACAATGTCGTGTTAGCTCATGCTCCACTGAACAGTGTTCTGTGTTAATACTAAGTTTAAAACAAGTTGGGATCTGTTTCTTATCTAGGCGGATCAGCAATAACAGCTACTCTTAGACTCCTTTGCACATCTATGTTTTAAAAAAACTATTTGTATGATATGTTTGTTTCTTTGTTCCTGCTTTAAATAATGACATGTTTTATTACTAACTTGATAGATAGGAAATGATCTAAATCTGCAATTTTAAATTATAAGCCTTTCCCTTAGTGTGACTCTAGCCTCCCCTCCCCTTGCACCAGGGTTGAACCCTCCTCATTTTTTCCCAGTGAAGAAGTTCTGTGACTGTTTAATTACAAGTGCTAATCTTCATGCCTTGAATGAATTACTCAACTACATACATGAGTTTGCCCCAAAGTACCATCAATGATAAACGAAGATACATTGGCCTAAAAGGATTGAAAATTTTAAATTACAAAAAATTGCCTAGAACTTTTGAAAATCTAACAGCTTTTGTAAAAACCTCTCCTCGATATCCAGAGCCTAAAGACCTGGAGTAACACAAAGTTTTTCTTTCTTCAGCTACCAAAATGTCACAAAGACCCCGTCGTCCACGTCCCAGACCTAAAACCACACCGAGCTCTCAAGTACCTCAGACCAAATCGGGTAAATGTGATCGCGTGATTTAAGGGTGAACCCTAGTAGCCTATCCCAGTGGGAACACAAAGCAGTGCCAAGCTGTTTGTCGCTCTAAGCCTGAAGTCATGAGGCATGGTCAGGTGTCTGAGAATATGGCTGCTTTGCCCAGGTGTCAGAGAATATGGCTGGTTGAGATATATTTGATGCCAGAATATCTTACTCTATGTGAAAGTCTTCTTTTATATGCATTTAGTATATTTTTACTGTCAATTTCTGTCAAATTTTAATGATAAAGCTTCTTTAGCAGAGTCAGTATACGTAGTTCAAGGAAACAAAAAAATATAAGGAATATAAATTACATCCCTTGCATATTTCTGGACCAATATTGAAAATTGCCAATATTGATGTGATAATGGTGAGTGATATGCCAGCTATGAGAGACTTTCTAAAAATAATGGAGTTGGGTATATGTTTGCATGATACATTAAACACTGACCTTGAAGAGGAAAAGACAAAGGTGATCTAGACTTGGACCTTGGGCCCACTACAGGATTTGAATGAATGGAGGGAAAAGTGAATCAAGGCAGAAGGGCTGGACATGTGGGGTGGTAGGGGATCAGCCACAAAGGCAATCCAGTGGGCCTAACACAGAATGTCCTACTTCCAGATGGCCAAAACAAGGTTATTGATGATGCTGCATTTGTAAGGGTCCAGGCAGACAGTTGAAAGATAATTTTGAGGACCCAATTCAGAAGCTTGGATTTGATACAGGGACATCAACTGTCTTCGATTTCTACTTTATTTGGGCTTTGGCTGGACAGATAATCCACTAAGTATTTTAGACTGAGTGACCATCTTTATTTTGCTCTTTTATGTGTCATGATGAATTCTTGGAAAGATCAGCATAGTCTACTTCAATGATCAATTTTTATATCTATTTCAAACTTATAAACCGTTTATTGCATCCATGTTCACTTAAACATAGCAAGTGCACATTTTCAGCTTCCATAGAAATACAGACTGATAAAATTTTTTTAAAGACCATTTCTTTTCCAAGTTTGTTAGGTAAATGAATAAGAATATTTTCCAGTGCAGAGTTTTCCATATCAGAATCCATTATCTAAAACCTAGGATAATTTAATGTTGCCTTCTTTAAGGCAATCAAGATAATTCAAAGGCTAAGCTGAAGACCATGATTGTAGTTTCACCAAATGTTCAAAGAATGATTATCTACTCTTTCCTTAAGAGGTAATTTCTTGTTTTTGAGGGAGGGTTGACACACAAATAGATTTGTTTGGATGTGAATGTTCTGACTTTTTGTGTATTTTAAAATCTCTTTGGTTTACTGTATTTTTTGGTCAGTTCCTGCTACAGTTCTTGAACCTGTCATGCTTATATCTGTAATAACAGATATACTGGCTTTTCAACAAGACTTATTCTGCTTGTTTTATAACCCAGAGTTTCCTCTTGTTTTATATTACTGTATGTCATTCTTTTAGGCCATTCATTTACATTCTTAAATTTATGAAAACTCTTAAAACAAATCATCTGTCTTTTCATAGAGAATCAGTCATTCATGAACGTACTTTAGGGCATTTATTTGCCATGTAATCTATTTTAAATTGTTTCACGTTATTTTGTATTTTTTTAAGCAGTGCTTGCAGTTAAAAAAAAACTTTTTCAAACATACTATAGGTTTCTACCTCTAACTTAGTTAGAAGCCATTAACAGCTATCGTGAGGCCAAGAGAATCCATTCATTTCACATCTACATCTCTACCTTTTTTTTTTTCTATTTGTGCAGTTTTTTTTTTTTTTTTTTGTCTTGTTTCTATTTAGGTACTAATGTGTTCTTGTTTTAGGAGTTATGTAGAATGTATGAAAGATTGAAAAATTGAGTTATAAATCTCAGATTTAATATGACTGTCCTTGATAATACATTAAAATTTAGCAATGGTTCTTAACCTTTCTGTTGTCCAAACTGTTCTGTGACACTTTGATTATAATTACTAAACTTTATTTCTTTAATTAGAAATGGATTTTTTTCTTCAAAGACTATTCTGTGCTAATAGAAATTCATTAAGGAGTATACATGACAAAAATCTCAAACTAGAAAGGCAAATATCTAACAGGTTGTAGTTAATCTCAAATCATGTTTTCACCTCTCATTGCTTCCAGAAAAGAGGTAATGTAGTTGTGTAGTAACCCTAGAATTTCTTCCTTCAGCTTCCAAAACATCACAACAGACACGCCGTCCACGTCCCAGACCAAAAACGACACCAAGTCTTGAAGTATCTCAGTCCAAACCAGGTAAATAAGTATCCCTGGTTTAGAGTCTCAGCAGCCTAACCCAGCAGGATCTCAAGAGTAATTCCAGTGGTTGGGAGTAACCAATAGGCCCTATTAAAGATATAACTCAGGTTAAACAGAATTTCCCACTGTAGAGATGGCAAGAGGAACACAGTAGGGGGACAGCTGTGGGGCAACCAAAAGCCTCATAGCTCCTGAGTGAAATCTTCTCTATAACTGTGCCTTTTATTAACTTCTATTTGTCTTCAAAATAAAATTCCTTTAGAAAAATTATGCATATTCAGTTCAAATTAACAGGGTCTTTAGTATCACCAAGTCATATTAGTGTCTTTGGTGGGTGTACATTAGATGTGGGAGACATGTTTTAGTCCTCAAACCTACAAGAAAATTGAGAACAAAAGCCTTCCTCAATAAGATAGAAGATGGCATTAGAGAGCATGTATGTACAGATGAGATTGACAAAATGTGCTCTCAACAAAATGTGCTAGGTACATAAATAGGATCAGGAAAAGATTAGGAAATAGTGGGGCCTTGAAACCACCATAGTACATGGATGACTGGAAAGATAGGTAGGAATAAAATCAGAAAGACTGTATATATAGAGAGACAAACCAAAAGAGATAGTCTAACTGTAATACTAGTATAGAGAATGCCTGACTAGACCGTGGTCATCAAAGCTTACTGAATCTTGATTGGTCCATGGACTCTTATGGTGGAGATTCTTAGGCATCTGATAGAACAGTTGAGACTTAATCCAATAGACATCAGCAAATTCGTCTTTGCCCATGAGGGCATGTTCTTTCTTTGCTTAGAATAGAGGGATACCCTGTTAAATAGATCATGCTTCGGCCTCACTTTCTTTCCAAAGTTGTTAGTAATACCCACATATCCCACTTTATTACTTAAAATCAAATCATCAAAGGAAGAATAAGGAAATAGTTACCTGACTTAGGTATGGCCAAATTTGAGGAAATCAACAGTCTACTTTTCTAGTTTAACAGTTTTTAAAAGTTGTTACATAGTTCTAGAAAGCATATTAATAAGACTCATTTTGAAGAAAATGTCTTGAGGGTTTTTTTATTAAACAATCATTTTGTTTATCTTTAATGCTTTTGATCAGTTCCTACTTCAGACCTTGAACCTGTTACACTCAGAACTGAGACTTGGGTAACAACACAAGGTAAAAACACATGCCCCTCAGTAGGTGCCTTTCTTTCTGATTGTCAGACTCATTCCATCAACATCATACCTGCAGGTTCTTTTACTTCATAAGGTTACATCATCCTCTGTTGTCACTCCGTTAAACTCTTCATCCTAAAAGTATTGAGGACTTTGTTCAAACAAGTTATTTCTTTTAAGAGAGCCATGCATAAACCTAACTCAAGTCATCTGTTGTACATGTAACCATCTGAAACTGTTTTGTCATCCTGTGTGCTTTTTAATCATGTTTTGTTAAAGCTGGGTTTTGACTCTACTGACTATTATGGCATCGGGAAGTTTCTTTGTGGATCTGAAGTTCTTCTCTTTTTTTTTTTTTTTTAAACTCTCCATGTATTATCTGTTCTTTAATTAACTTTTTAGTTAATTACATGGCCTTATCTTCGTAAACTGTCAAAGAGTTTGTATCTATCACCACACCATAATATGTTAGCAGTGGAACTTACCCTTGTGTTCAATAGAAGAGTGCTATGAACAGTTCTTTGTTTCTTGAATAATTTTACATGACTCATTCTCAATGAACTTGGATTTATAAAAGAATATATACTATTATATTAAGGGTGAAAGTTTCAAATTAAAGGTTAATAAGGAAAATTTACTAAATGTAGTAAGTTTTAGAAAATCTGGAGTCATGTGTCATGCTGTCCTTAGCTTCTGAACTAGACTCTGTAGTAATTGAAGATCTTCCTTCTTCAGCTCCTAAGATATCGAAACGAACCCGTCGTCCACGTCCCAAACATAAAACTACACCAACTACTGAAGTACCTCAAACAAAACTGGGTAAATGTGGGTTTCTGGTTAAAGGAGTAAGTCCTAGCAGCTTTTGGGAGTCTGGGATTGATGCCAGTGGTAGAAGTGATAGCCCAAGTGAGCCCAGTGAGGGTGGGGCACTAAATGATCTGCACTGATCCCCCTGTTGAGTAAGCAAAGGAGAACATGATTTGGGGAGACGTGTGGCAGCTGAATCCCTTGTGCTTTCTGCATAAAGATCTTCTATTTTAATGTGTATTTTATTACTTTTGCTTATTTTGTTCCATACTTCTCTAGCAGACAAAATGTCTTAAATAGAACCAATCATTTTTTATTTCAAGAAACAGTGTCTTCCATTTCCCCACAGCTACATCAACAGCTGTGAGGATATCACAGATGTAGCCTGCTTGTTTTTACTTCTCAGGCTGTAGTGTAGTCAAAGTCAAAACCTCCAATAGGAAGCATTTAAAGATTGAACCAAGGCAATGTGTCTGTGCAAATCAAGATTATTTTTTGCAGGGGTTATAAACATCTTTGAGCATAGAGAGAAGTTTGTGAAGGACAGGAATAAGGAGTTAGAAATAAAGTGAGTCTTAAAATCATGGAGTTTAACAGAGACAAAAAGAAAGGAGGTATTGAGGCCAGCCAGAAGGCACGGGGCTCCTGGAACAAGGGAGATACTGCTTCTAAGTGGTAAAGATAGGGCTGAGTTTGGAAGGGTCCATAAGAGCAGTTGAAGAAAGTTCTTGAAGGTATGACTCAGAAGTTTGGATCTGACCCTAGTAGTATTAGTGGTCTTTTCTGTGATCTCTTCCACATACACAGGGTACCACATTTTTGTGATTAGAGCAGAGAGCTGTTCGACTGGGTACCACACACTGAGTGGTTGTTCCTTAACCTGATTGGTTATTAGAATGATTTTGCATCACATCAGGCCTATTTCTACTTACGAGTTCTCAACACGATGAGCAAGGTTCACTTTGCTTTGCTCTTTTCTATGACTCCTTTCAAATATAAGTGCCATTCATTGTATCCATCTTATTTAGACTTGCTATTTTCTTAAAGCTTCCACAGAAAAGCCAATAATTGCCGGGACATTTTCATAAGTCTCTATTTGGTAAAATGTCTACACAAGTTTCCTAGAGCAGTACTTGGAATTAAGTACTTAAACACCTAAGAGAATATTGTGTTGACATTGAGATGCTTACCAGATTGATAGGTCAGCTATCACTGACTATCTCGAAAAGAATATTTACCTGGTTATAGGGTGACCAAATATTTTATACATTTATTTGAAGCAATGTTATACTGGTTAGATTTTAACTTGCTGACTTTTCACAAGTGTTGACTTCATTGTTTTTCGTTAGTTCCCACTACAGATCTTGAAGCTGGCACTCTCAGAACTAAAGCTCCAGAAATCGTGGGTAATGAGAATGTGTGCCCTTCAAATAGTGCTTTTCTTGCTCATTGTCATGCCATTGTGGCCACATGTTCTCCTGCATCTTACAACCATTTCAACACCCTCTGCTGTCATTCCATTGTAGTCTTTATCTTGAAATTATACTAAACTCTATTTCAAGTTACCTGTTAAGAAAACTGTGAATATGCTAATATGAGGACATCAAACTGCCATAACTGTTTCACGTGATCATCTGCATGTGCTGAAAAGCACTGACTGTTTTAAGCTTCTTTTCAAACATGAATTTCCATCTGTCCCTTATTTACACTGCTTCTCCCTCCTCAATTTTACAAATGTCATGATCTTTAATTGTATTACTTTTTATTGTATTAGGATCTGTGTGATTATATTGATGGATCTATTGTTTCAAAACAAGATGCTTTTACTTAATTGTCAAAATTTTAAATGTGCCTAAGTCTTGAGACTTTAAACGAAAGGCTTTTCATGATACAGTACAGTAACTCTTTCATGAGAAGGTTAACAGTATTTAACTTTTATTGAGTCAAGGATTACTTTGAAACTTTGAACACACTCTATAATGTATTGATCCTGATGCTTTCAAATAAATAAACTCATTATTGTACCCATGATTATTTCAATAATAGGCATTTATCTCAACTTGTACAGAAGTACAAGTAGAATGATAAATGCTTTTTTCAGTAGAGTTAGAAAAGTATATATTATCTAACTGTAAGAAGTTTGTCTAGCAGAATTGTGCATATTAGCAACAGTCAGATAATCAAACATCTGGGAGAACTTGTTGACCACCGTGATATTTAGCAGAGTACAATGCTGTATCTATCTTATGAGTTTAATGGGTACTTTTCCACAGTGTAGTCAAATCTGCAGAGGAAGTGTCTCTTTTCTGTTAGTCTTGAGGCTTAAAAATTGACTCTTGCAGTTAGCCTTGAAGTGAATTTTTTTTAAAAAATCTCTTTGGTGTCTTTTATTATTTTTGGCCAGTTCTTCCTACAGCCCTTGAACCTGTCACTCTTAGAACCAAGGATCCAGAAACAACATTAGGTAATCCAGCATTTGTGAACAGTTTTTTCCAGCTCATCATCAACCCATTCTATCCTAATCATAATCACTTTGTCACCATCTTTATAAGACTGTCTTGTCATCTTCTGCTGTCCTTCAACTTTAATTTTCTTCTTGAGAGTATTGAAAACTCTTAACGGAAGTTACCTGTTGTTTTTAAAAGCTATGCATGGAATAAGTCAGAATATCTGTCAACCATGTAATCTTGAACTTTTATCTAAACGGGGCTCAAATTGAAAGCTGAGTTTCAAAGTTGGCAATGTCTATATCTCCTCTAGACCAACCAAACCATAGCAATTCACATGGTATCATAGATTCTTTGGAAATTTTCTATTTCTTGGTGTGAACCTAAGACCCCACTACCTACAGCTTGGCCATGGTCCTTTTCTGCTTTTGAGGTTAGAGATTTATGAGATTCCTCACTCCTTGACTTAATTTTATGTGTGAGTTTTATCTCTTAAGAATCTTCAGTGATTAAATAAATAGTTAACAAAATAGACAATATTTCAATCTTGAAACACATATGCCTTGAATTTCAAGAAAATATAACATATTTTAGAAAATCTAGAGCCTTGTTTCCAAAACCATCTTCACAGGAGTAATCCAAAGTTTCATCCTTCAGCTCCTAAAACAGCACAACGAACCCGTCGTCCACGTCCCAGACCTAAAACCACATCAAGTCCTGAAGCACCTCAGACCAAACGGGGTAAATATGCTATTCCATGATTTGAGGGGTGAACCCTAGCAGTCTGCCCCAGTGGGGTCCCAAAGAAATGCGTCTGATGGGAAGTGACAGCCTTCAAGGCATGAGAGGTATGGTTAGCAACTGCTTCTTGAGTGAAATTTTTGGTCTCTCTAAAGATGTGTCTATAGCAAGACTGGCATAGTCACTGATAATTACTTATTGCTATATCTGCATTTAAACACATGATCTAGTTATTATGGTCATGATTACATAAGCATAGGTATTATTTCAGCTTCCAAAAGTTGTCACAAGTTACTGTCATATATATCTTCATATACATTGCCTAAGCAGATTTTCCAAAGCAAGCTTTCATATTGGTTAGAGTCAGAATATCAAACATCTTAGAAGAACCTCATGGTGACCATACTAATATGCATAGCAGAATTTAAAGGTTGTGACTACTTTCTGCAATGACTTGTTCCTGACTCGTTTGACCAAATTCTCAAAAATAAACTGGTTCCTGTCAATTCAAAAGTTAAAAAAAAAAGTCATTTGAAACGAATGTTTTCAAAGAAAAATTAAGATTTTTTAATGTGTATTTATACTTTTTCATGTTCCTGTTGTTGCTTTTGGTTAGTTCCTGCTACAAGCTTTGAACCTGTTATTCATAGTTCTGAGGCTCCAGAATCAACATTAGGTAATGATTTTTGTGACCTCATTACATACTTTTTTATTCATTGAAAACCTATTCTATCACTGTCATGGCCAGAATTGCTCCTGCTTTCTTAGACTGCTCTTGTTCTGTTTCATACTCCATCTTATATGTAGTCAGGATTCTTTTTTTATTTTTATTTTTGAGAGAGAGAGAGACAGAGACAGAGTGTGAGTGGGGGAGGGGCAGAGAGAGAGGGAATCACAGAATCTGAAGAAGGCTCCAGGCTCTGAGCTGTCAGCACAGAGCCCGTCGTGGGGCTTGAACTCATGAACTGTGAGATCATGACCTGAGCAGAAGTTGGACACTTAACTGACTGAGCCACCCAGGTGCCCCATTAGTAGTCAGGATCCTTAATTCAAGTGCTACCTATTGTTTTTAACAAATGTCCCTGGACCCAGGAAATCTATCTGCCATTAAACTTCCTTTAAAATTTCATTCTCTTAAGTGTCTGAATTCTAAATTACAACCCATCTATTTGGTAGTTAGATCTATAAAATGATGATAATTAAATACCATGAAATCTTTCTGAGCAACTTACTTTCTATAAGATTTTTGTGACATACGCATTATTCTCTTCCTATTTTCAGGGATTGTGTTTCCCTGTTATATTAAATTATCTAAAAAAAAAAGTGCTTTCTGGAAGTGCAAACAATAGTAAATACAAGCTACAGTCTTTTCCCACCACAGAAGATTTTGGTTATTCTTTATCTTCCACCACAGCTTAGCATTGATTCTTAATCTTCACTAACTAGGAATCTCTGAGTAATTACATTAATATCTATTCCTCTAATTAATAAATCTTGTTATTTTGCTTCCAAAACACTGTCAGTAGTGATAAGAAACAGATTAGTAAAATAAAATGTCTCAAAGTTAGGCAATAAACTCAAGAAAATGTAATATTTTAGAAAACACAGTCTGTGAACAGTGCTTTTGATGGTTTCTAGACCTATAAACACAATAGCAACTCGATTTTCTTCATTTAGTTTCAAAAACGTTGGGGGGAAAATAAATCCTCCTCCCAAACTTTAAACTTCTGAAAGTTTCACAGCAGGAATCAAGAAAGTCAGTGATTTCTAGTTTGAGTCCGTCCAGCCCATTGCAGTTGGATCCCAGGGATGATGGTGATGTAGCTTGTTAACTTTCAATTCCCACCTCTATACCTTCTAAGAGAGAGAAGGCACAAATTGTAGTTAGTATCTCTACAATTGCATGTTGACCAAAAGGATCATGGTTGGGGAGATTTATATGGTAGCCAAATTCATCATGTGCCCTGCAGAAGGGTTGTCTCCAACAAAAGATGCATCTTATTAAATTCTCTAACCACTCTATTTCATTTATCTTTTTTTGAAATTGGCAATACTTATTTGGCTTACTAAACAAAAATTTCCTTGCCCTCTGTGTTTCCAGAGCTATATTAGCAGTTGGGTGGGGTGAGGTGAGGAACAGAGGTAGAGACCAAAGTAAGAACATGTTTCACTTGCTGAGAAGAGTACAATATAACTGTGAAGAAACACTGTTCTCAAGTTTGTTTGTTTGTTTGTTTGTTTGTTTGTTTTAAATAAGGCAATTTGCTTATACAAAAGCAGCTTGTTTAATTGGTAAGAATATAGAGAGAAAATACTTAAAGGAAACAAAGATCTATGTGGATTGATAGAGAATAGTTGGGCTTTGAAATAACTTCAGAATTTTGCATTAGTGGACAGAAGGGTGGAAACTGCAAAAATAAAACAAAAAAATCTCAATACCTATTGAGATTACCCAAGGGGGAGGTCAAACTAGAACACAGAACAAAACACGCCAAATGGTGCTAAACACGTTGGTAATGATACTGTCAGAAAATCAGCTGTAGGAAGCTCTTAGAAAGCCCTTGTGGGAATTCATATTCAGATACCATAGTGAGAACCTAGTTTTTTCTCAAATAGGCCCTTGCATTTTGTAGGATGCTTAAGATCAGGGGTCAGCAAATTTTTTATGTAAGGATGTTAGATGGTAAATAATTTAGACTTGTAGGCCATTCTCTGTTGAAACTACTTGATTCTGCTGTAGTATCTCAATTGAAGGCAACCAAAAGCAATATGTAGATGATATGGAAATATGCCATGGATCATCTTAACTTGAGGGTGTTGCTGTATTTCTATAAAATTTTATTTGGATTTTATACCATTTTCACATGTCATAAAATATTACTCTGAAGTTTTTCTGTCATTGAAAAAATACAAAAACTGTTCTTAGCTCACAGGTCAGGCCAAGGGCTGGATTGGCAGGGCCATAGTTTGACAATTGCTGCTTTAATAATGTATACTCTGCATGACTCTTCATAACCGTGTGATTTTTGAAGATCTGTGTATTTCTATCCATTGCTACCTTTATCTAAAACCTGTAAAAATAAATTTTCCATAATTACTTTGACATTTTAGATGCTCTTCTTTCAGCTCCCACTGAACTGCAAACTCTTACTTTGAAACCAGTGACATCACCAAGCCTAGAAATGACACAGAGTCAACCTGGTAAATAGACTGTTTTATCTGTCTGGGTACACTGTGAGCCTCAGGGGACATTTTCCAAGTGTTAAATTTTCAAATATAAAAAAAACAAGTAATACACATTTAATAACTCGATACATTGTACATGCTTTTCCCATGATTGCATACTGGTGTTAAGTTAGTTACATATTCATGGCAATTGTTATTCACCTGATAGACATATTTATCTTCATTTCATTGTGTATACTCTGTATCACATAGAGAATAGTCAAGTATGTGGATTAAGCAGTAAACAAAACCACTTAGAAGAATTGATTTTATCCCTTATTTTTCACTAACAGTTACAAACTTGTAGTTCTCTTTAGTCATAAACTAAATGTGTGCTCTGTTCTGTGAAAAGAATGTTAGTTCAGTTATAACCATGAAGGAGGGAGAAAGTTCTCACTTAAGCACAGGTCCCAAAACCACCCTACACAATATTGCCCTTCAAAAATGAAAACAAACATTTTAAGTTAGGAATTCAGTAGCTACTCCCTGGCATATATTTTGAAACATCAGATCTTTTTTCCAGCATAGGATTATAATTCTTTTCATCTCCTTTGTGTATCTTCTAATTAATTAAATGACATTTTTGTGCCCATGATGGTACAAGGTACGGTTGTTAATAGTTACCTACAACACTTTCAAAATTAGGAATTCAATTCAGTTATTTGAGCTTCCCATCATGTTATTAATAATACTGTTATTATCATAACAGCAAACATTGAGCATGACATGCAAACAAAGTGCAAGACACTTTTCTAAATAGTATTTAGCTTGTGTGCATTCCCAATGCTGGCAACAACCCATTCTTGATCAATTGTATCATTTTGTGTTCTCTGCTAGTTTCTGAAGTCCTGGAATTCGTTACATTAAGCATTGAGTCATCAAAGGAAGCTATAGGTAAAAAACATTTTCCCATCAAGAAATTCAGGTATATGTGCTTTTCCATCTCATTGCAGAAGTCATCTTTGAATGCCCTCATGCTTTGTGACATTTCATAGCTCTTCACATCTTGTCTGTGCTCATCCAGTGAATCTTAAAAGTCAGATATTACATACAGCACGTTGTGCTAGTGTCTGCTGTATTGCTATGCACGTTTCACAATTTTCTTAGTTCCCTTTCACTCTGAATGCAAAATGTAACATTCTCATCATTCTTTAAATATGAATATGAACATCCTGTTTTTCATTTTTATATTGTTTTTAGGTTTCATCCCAATGCTTTTTAAGGACTCTTTGTCTTTTTATTAGTAGAATACTTAATCAAAATATGTAAGGAAGTGAAATTACCTGCTTTACTCCAAGTAGAAATTGCTGAAGACCCTGACAGTTACCGTGTGTGTGTGTGTGTGTGTGTGTGTGTGTGTATACCCTTGCCCCCACTGAACACTGCCTTCATTATCTGCCTTCACCTCTGCCCTCTTAAATTGTAGTCATCTTCCTAATCTACCAAAACGTTATTTATTCTCATGAATATATCTACTTAACCAACCTCTGTTTACAAAGTCAACAGTGTTCTATTACAGTGTTTTATGGGCTGCCCACCACTAACCAGCCATTCCCTGTTTATTCCCTAGCACCAACTGTAACAGATTATCTATATCCCTCTGCCAAAGCACCACTCAGTCCAGAGGAGCCAAAGACTGCAGGTGGTAAAGCTTTTCATGCTCTCATTCATTTATTCACCAAATTTTTAATTAGCATCTGTTATGTCCATGGAACATGGAAGTTCAGGCTGTGGTATTTGTTCTGCAGTTGAATTCATTTGAAGAGCAATAGCTTCCCAAATTCTTGGATTCTTAACACTAAAATGACAACTGACTCTCTGAATACAGAAATTCTGGTTTTCTGTGGTATCAAAATATGGAACATTATGGCATTTGATAGCCAGCTACTGACAGTTAAAACATAAATATTAGTTGGAAAATTAGTATTACAGAATAGGATTTCCCCCTTGTTTCTCTCTTTTCTTCTCTAAATCCATCGTCCTATCTATAAAAAAAAATACATACAAAATCTTAAGAGAATGAGATGTGTTGACATTCAAGAAAGATATACTTAACTGTAGCTTAACACCTTAAAGTTTTCTAAAATTGTTCTCCTTTGTTTTGATACAGTTGTGGAATCTATTACAAATGTGTCTGAACCACCTGAGACCACGCTAGGTAATGACACATCTCAGCAGCTTTTATTCTCATTACCACCATCACCTGAGAACCTCAGGTTCTCTCTCATCGTGAATTCATGTTGCAACATCATTCTTTGCCACCGCAGTTAATTTTCTTTCTAGGTGCTTCTGTTCGTAACCATTGTCCAAAAAGTCTCTTCTTCTGTTCAGTTTTGTATCTAGATGTTGGTCTCTTTCTTTACTTAAGTCAGTGAAACTTTGAAATCTAAAGCATCTTTTTCCTAACACTGAACATTCTGCCAGCTTGTATTGTGTCGAATATTTCAGTTTTCTTTTTGTATGATGATCCATTTTATACTTTCTGCCCTAGCAATGTACTTTCCATTAACACTCATTTCATCACATTCGTTTACATGTCTGATTTTTTTTTTGCCACAATTCTAAGTGAAATTCAATGCTTCTTCATGGGCTCCTGCTTTAACATTTCATATTACTTTGGTTTGCTCTTTAAGGTTACTATCTTTCTAATGTTCCAGTAGTGTTGAGGAGGTACTAGTTTGAAATGAGGACTTAAAAGTAAGGATATTGCTTACTTTGAAATTATTTGGTAATCTGGCATCTCAGCATTTTTTAAACTAAATGCATTATGAAGAAGTAGGAATGCCATTTTGCTACAGAGTTGCAATTTCTTTTTTTTTTTTTTAATTGTTACCATCCTTTCTGTCATCAGTACTTAAAGTTTGTGAAGCACTTTCATAACCCTAGGTACTTTCCTTCAATTATCATAGAGACATCTCCTCTGCCTTTCCAAACTATAATCCTACCCAGCCCTGATGAGCCTCCGACTGAACCGGGTAAATATTATTTTGTATTTCATGTAGAAGGTGAGTGTTTGCAGAATTTATAAGAATGGAAAGACAGTATGGGCACTGTAGACATCAGAACACCTAACTTAATCACTCTGCTCACAGTCTTTGATGGGGGATCTGACTTCCCTGATGCCCCATTTCTCATCCTAATAGACATTCACTTGGCAGCGTTATGAATATTCTTTAGGCTATGGCTGAAAAGCCCTTCTGAGCTACTCTGCAAATGTTTCAAACAGGAAATAGTATTGTTGCTGGGAAATAACATTTATATTCCATTTTTATATATAAATATGTATCTTAATTTTAAATACTTTATCATCTTAACTAGTTTTACAAGTCTTGCGGTAATGTACAGAATATTTTAAGGTATCTAATTTGTGTTGGAGATTAACAGATTTCACTGTGTGGTCCCCATAAAGGGGTACAACTGGCCAGTCACCTTATCATTATTCAGGTCCTTTACTTCTTTCTCCTCCCCTTTCTGCAGCAGTTGGACCTTTCACTGCATGTAAATAAGAAAAACTGACATGAAACCAGCTACTTAGCAAGTCGTCAAGGTTTACTTGATGGTGGAATTTGAAATACAGGAAAACAGATCACCAATATGGATAACTAAATGTTTGGCCTCCTACAAGGAAAAATCCTCTCAATATCTATAAGCTTTCTTAGCGTGATAGTTTATCATAAATAAGCCCAAACTTGTGTTTTGATTGTTAATAAGCTATTTCATATGGCTCTATTTCCAAAAGAGATATGAATGTTAATTTTATGCATTGTCCTCTAAAATATCTCATTAAATTTGCCTACCAAATTTACAGTTTAATTTTTACTGAAATATCACCTTAACCACATTAACTGACTCTGTGCCAGTCATCTCTAACTTCTCCAAAGTTTAAGTAGCTGTAATGATACGATTGGAATGTTTCATTGTGAATACTATTAGTAATATCTACCTCATACCATGGGAGAAGCAAATAGCCCATCAGGAACCTCAGCAAGCCAAGGAAGTTGGTAGTCAGAAAATCACAAGACTGAAAGAAATTCTAGAATCACAGAATTTCAGTATTGGAAGGGCTCTTAACAGTCCTGTTACTTTTGAGAGAGAAGCTAAGGCTGTAGACTGAGTGATTAGCAAAGGGAGCTCTTAAGTCTTCAGGCTCCTAAACCAGCACAATCTCTTGCATATGTTGGTGTTCATTTCTCTCCAGGCGATCCCACTGAAGATTCCACTGAAACCACTGCATGCAGACTCGATAGAAACTTCTAGTATCTAATAACTCTTATTTTCAGCCAGCTTTCCTTAGGTGCCTGAAACCCAGTGACCTTGGAAACCATTTTGTTTCTCCTAAGCTGTTTATACCAAACACACTAGAGTCCATACAAATGTGTTTCCATAAACTGCAACCTTGCATTTGATAATTACTTTCCTCCGGCAGGATATACTTCTCGTTTTCTTGGTAAAGAAACAATTGATTTTTACAGTGAATGTCCTAGAAGTACTGCAGGAATCGCCCAACAAAGGAATAACTTTCTCAGGAATGTATCCTTTGAATTTCTATTCAGTTTTTCTTCCCCAGCATGACCAGTGAAAATTGTATTATGTTGACTAAGATTTTTTTCCATTAACACTTGGTATTAAAATACATTCATTTTCTAGGTATATTTGGAATGTGACATACCAACTTTGGTTTTAGAAGAAATTGTATTTATCTGCACTTAAAATTTTATAGCAGAATATTCTTGTAAAATAGTATGAACTTGTAATAAGGATGAATTCTTACTATGAAATTTATTTTTAACCTTTTAAAAGGTATTTGAAGTAGATATTTCATCTGCCGGCTGAATATCTTGGATATCATTTAATGTGCTTTCTTGTTTTGTTTTCCATTATAGTAATATAAGAAATTTATCTCCCTTTGTTCTGTGGTTCTTTGAAAGCTTGATTTGCATTAGCTGCTGTGTATTTAAGACTTCATCTTTGAGATCCTAGAGGCTTAGATACTGTGATTCTTGAAGCGCTTAAGAGCTTCAAACCTATATTCTTTTTTTTAGCTCCCAAGCAGATACCACGTGCTTCTCCCAAACCAAAAACATCTCCACGTCCGAGAATCCCACAAACACAGCCAGGTAAAGACATGTTTTATATTCTGGCCTGAAGAATTTGATATTATTGGATTTGTTCTATTGAGTTATTGTCAGTTGGGTTTTTCACCCTTGTAAAACAAGTCTTCCTTTGAAACATAAGAAACATTTACATCTATTTTTGAACTTCATCAAAAAGTATGTGATTGGAATAACTTATTCCAGAAAGCTTCCCTGTTAATACATTATTTGAAGAGGGAGCTGGAGAAGAATGGAATTTCTTCAGAGTAGCCTGCCTATTCCCATCACCTCTCCGAGCGTGGGAACACTTGCATGGTCCTGGAATGTGCCTCCCCCTGCCAATCACCTATTTATTTATTTATTTATTTATTTATTTATTTATTTATTTTTATTTCCAGTAGATTTTATTTAATAGTATGTCATGAAGATTTGTTTTTTTATATATATACTCTCCTATAACATAATGATTATATAATATTGCTTTGGCTGTTTTGCTGTAAAATTGTGATAAGGACCTGAACAAGAGTCATTATAAACTGTTTTTCATTCTGTTCAAGACACTCTTCTTTGAATATGATTAAATCTAACCCTAACTTCTCAACCAAGATTTTGTCCAATTTTTCCAACTGCCTTGGAGGATGTCTAGTTGGGGCTACCCTAAACTTGACATGCCTCAGAGCTCATTTTCTTTTCCTCCTTTCAATTTCTCATTTTTGTCTGTGGTAGGTTCTCAGTATTTTAAATCTAATTTTTACTCCTCTTCCTCCCCTGCCCTCTGCAATCCATCTATTAATAAATATGATACCTTCAGTTCTTCGGAACATGTCTAGCATTGGTTCCTACTACAAGCATGTACTGGTGTGTTGTCTTTGATCTTCTTTTTTCTCTAATTTCAAATTATACCACCCCTCAGTGCTTAAGTGATTAACTCATTTCATCAGTTAGTCACTCAACAAATATTTCCTGCATTCTGTGGCCTGTGTGCCAGACATGGGATACGAGACAGAATTGTATCCATCCATGGTCAAGGACTTTACAGTCTAGGCTCATCATATAAATTTAAACATATCATTTATACATGGTCTACTTCCAAAAGTTATGAGGGTGCACCTACTCAATTTGCTAGAAAAGGAGCCTTCACTACCACTTATGGTCTGGGGAAAGGAAAATGTGAGCACCATCAAAATTATGCTTGATCGAGGTAGTAGTTCTTAATTCCTACCACTGATCCTTTAATCATGTGTCAGTATCCCTACCAAAAGAAAAAACTGTAGATTTGGGCATGGTCTTTAATATCTGATTCTAGAAGAAATTTTGCCTATCATTTTTTTTTCTCTTAAGGGAAATTCCTTAAAACACAGTTCTATGTTTGACATCTAGCTAATGATTTTAAATATGCTTTAATGTATTTTTAAGTGTGTTTTCTTTCATTACTAAAGCTTTGCTATGACAATAGTATGATACATAGTGTGTAAAGGTACCATGGCTAAAATTCCCTAGAATACAAAATTTAAAATAATAACAATTAATACACTGGAAGCGTTAATACATAATAAATACTATGAAAAACAATAATTAGTAAATAAATAATGATTAATGAATAGAATAAGAACAAAAAAAGCAAAGCAAGTATATTAAATTGGTAGAAAATTAAAATCTGGCCTTAAAAGCTTAACAGATAAAATGACATGAGAAGAAGCAGCTCTCAGCTTTTTATTTAAATGTAAAACATAGAACAAAAGTAGTAGAGAAAGGAGAAACAGAAGAAAGCATGAAAACTTGATGAATGTTGGAAAATAAAAGATGAAAAATAAGTGCTTGAGTGTTAAGACATTGGGAATATAAATTCCTGGTTAGTAAAATTTTTAAAAGTAAAGAAGATATGAGGTAACAAAGAAGACATTTGTCATTTTATCTTTTTGAGCTACATACTCTATACTTACAGAAATACATGTAGTAAATCTGGAGCTTACTCTAACTTCCCATCATTCTAAATTTCAAGATTGTTTAATTTTTATTTAGACCTTTAGCCAACCTTGTTCAACAAGATATGCAACTTCATAATGGATAGATTCATATGCTCGATGCATTCCACTCTCTAACCCTGAAATTTTGGAGTGGTTGTCAGCCCATAACAAGACAGCCTTTTGATTCTGTTCCCACTGAGGCAACACTCAGCACACCAGCATCTCTGTGGAAAGTAACTGCAACCCAAGTACTTCTGGCTTGTCATTGCACTTAATGCAAGAGAACAATTTGGAAAATTGATTGTGAAGAAGTAAGTGTATTCTAATTATTCCCCTTCAAAGCAGGTAAAATTAAGAATTCCCCTACCCAAGAGAATGATCTTACTGAATAGATCCTAGCAATGTTTGTGTAGTATGTATACATATGTATCACTAAATCTTTCAAAGATGAATAATCAAATGCTGGTACTTTCTCCCTTACCCTTGGCTAGATCTTGTAAATTTCAAAAGGCCGTTTGGGAGAGAGAATGTTCTGTGCATATGTACAATACCAAATGCAAATTATTATTGCTAGACTGTAAAGGGATCCCTGACAGTAGAGTATACAACACCAAATACAACACAGTGTGATCACCCGCTACTTTTTTCAGATTGAAATGCTATAATTGGGCATGCCACCTCTCTTCCTATTTATACTTAGATGGCAATATTTAAGGCAAAGTGGAATAAAAAGTTTGGAACAAATTATCAAAGGTATTTTGTCGTTGAATAAAGGTTTTTTTTTTTAGATTCCTGTGTTCATAGGTAATAGTCAACAACCCATTATTAATTTTATCCCAATAAATCTTACAACCATCAAAACTATGGGTGCTTTGGGTTTATGTAGAGATGAACAACATGAGAATTGGAATATACTCAAACCTTTCACTGTCAAATTTGTAAAAATCTTCTAGAAGTGGAAAGAATTTTTATATAGTTCTCACATCATTTTGACATTTCATGTGTAATTCTCATAATCACCCTTTAAGATAGGTTTATTATTTCCACCTAAAAAATGAGGAACAAGTTAAAATGTGACCTCAGCACTGGGATCTAGAGAGCCCAAGTGTTTGGATCTAGTGCTTCTGTCTGGACCTCAGAATTCAGTTCAAGTCTCATCTCTGGTACTTACTACCGTGTAACCTCGGGCAGAGAGTCACCAACCCAAGCTACTAAAGTGAAGCTCATAATTCCTTCAATCATTATGGTGAGAATCAAAGGGCACAATCCTTATAAAACCACTTTTGAAATTATAAAATGAGCTGTAAATAAATTAGATCTTTTTTTTTTCTGGTATCAGCACCTCATTACTCCAAAGGAACAGTTGTGGGAAGACCATTTTAGTTTGTGAACATGCTCATTTAAAGATTGATTTGAGCCTAAGCATGGCAGAGGGTGTGAAATTCAAGCCTACTCACTGTATTATCTTCTTTCTGCTGTTGTCTGAGTTGACTTTAAGCTTGTCTTATCCATGCTTCATTGGCTTCTACTCTGATTTCACTGAATTAATCTTCAGAGAAAGACATGAGGGTGGATTCGATGAGTCAAACTTCGAGAAGAGTGCTCTTGCATTAATTTAACTACTGTCTCTTCTGAAACCAAGATTTTAAAAACAGAACTTTCTCCACCCTACCCTTATGCTGAGTCATATCTTGTGGTTTCTCAGATAACATTTTTCTAAAAGTATCTGGAATTCTAACTGATAAATATTTAGAGCCTAAGGTTTATTTTTCCATAGAACTCCCATTTCAATACTTCTTTTTTTTTCAGTGGTCAGGAATACACTCTGTCATATCTTACATGTTAAGCATGACTGGGAGATGCCGAACCAAAATGACTCATGATCTGAGTTCTCTCTTTCAGCTCGTAAGGTGCCTCAGCGTGTTACTTCAAAGCCAAAAACATCACCAAGTCCAGAAGTGTCCTATACTCCACCTGGTAAATGATTTATTTCATGTTTAACTCAAAGGCATTCTGTCATGCTCTGCTGCAATGACACCTGAGATCTGATAGATGCGAGGTCAACACCTCACTTAGGTTCAAGTGCCATGTGGAATCATCCATGGTATGAGCATCTCAGAGGCTTCATAAGTTATCTAGTTGCTCAAATAGTAAGCTATTGATACAGTCAAATGGCAGAGAATTATGCCAAGGGTAAATCTTCCTTCTAGAACTAAAGTTCTCATACAATAAAAATAAACCTACCAATTCTAACTGTACTATGTTGAAATGGTCCACCAAAATAAGATCAAGAATTCGAGACTTTTACCACGTAAAACGATAAAGTGTTTTGCAAACAGAGGAAATGATGTTTATCCACTGTCCTCGGTTCAGTAATTTTACACTAACCAGCATTGAGGTTTTTTGTTTTGTTTTGTGTCTTCCATTAAATTCTACTTTACCCATTCATGGAATAATAGCTTAGGTTGAGAAATAAGAAATTTCACATACATAAAAGATTTCTGTAGGTACAAATCCATTTCTTGCCCATCATCTGAGAAGGCCTTTTGTCCATTTACAGAGGGAATAATTTCATATTTGTGGGAGTAGTTGGTGTGGGACCTGCAAGGACCCAAACATTCCCTGAGTCTTGCTGCCAATGCTCTAGGTCCTCAAGTGACCTTAAGAAGCCACAGTAAGCCGAACAGTTCTCTGATAAACCAAACCAAGCTAATTTTAAACTAAATGTTCTGGGGAATGCTATAATTCTTTCTTTCTTTTTAATGATCCAATTATTATAAATTTCTAGATGCTCCTAGAAGCCTATGGAACATTCCCAGAACCATGCTGTAGCATGAAATGATGACATTTTGGAAGGAAGCCTGAATTCACTTGCTATAAATGTCTTCCAGATTTGTAAGCGGGGTTATTGCTGCTGTGGGAGTCTGGTCGTTGCAGGCGGCGATAGAACAGAAAAAGGCTCCTTTGCCCTGAAGTCTAGAATTTAAATTTGCACCACTAAATGCAATAACCAATACTACAAACACCAACAAGAAAAAAGCTGATCTTTCCACTTGGAAAAATTCAATTTCTTATTTTCAGTTATGGCAAAATAATGTAACAGTAATTGACTCATTAATGATAACAGTAGGTTTAAGTGATTTTGTTTGCTTTTCCTTTATGTTAGAGAAAGTAATATTGTTGGTCCTGATGTGACTTAATCTCATTAAACCAATATATCTAGTCCTTATTTTTTTTCTTCTTAAATACCAAATATTTGCCTCAATTCTACCAATGCCTTATTTTTCACAGAAACTCTGTGAGTTTGAGCACTGGAACAACAGAACAAACTGCCCTCCAGAGTCTCCACTGGGCTTATTCTGTTGACTCTCCAGTTCCACGTGCTCAGTTAGAATTCTGTCTCTAAATCTAGTGTTGGTCCCACCACTGTATTCAGCAGGGGCTCCACTGTTGTTCCAGGGGTGCAAGACCTACAGGAATAATCTTCAGTTTACTCACAAGTGTTCAAACAGACGAGGTTCTGCTGTGCTCAGTTTCTGGGTCATATCTGGGCTCAAGTTTACATCCTAATGAACCCAGAACCTTGTTTACTAGCCCCTATGGATTATATCTCAGAAAGCAGAGGGGAATTTACACTATACTTAATATGTACTGGTATTGTAGAGAAATAGATTGTCTGCAAAAGTCTAAAAGTGTAAAATGTGCTGCTGAAATCAAGACAGAGTTAATGGGTTTTTAAAATACTTATTTTTGAGAGAGAGAGAGAAGCAGAGAGAGGGAGACACAGAATCTGAAGCAGGCTCCAGGCTATGAGCTGTCAGCACAGAGCCCGACACAGGGCTCGAACTCACGAACCGTGAGATCATGACCTGAGGTAAAGTCGGACGCTTAACTGACTGAGCCACCCAGGTGCCCCCAAGACAGAGTTATGCTTTATCATAAGGTTTATCTCAAAATTTATTCTGAGAGACATCAGAAGCAACAAACTGGAGTTTTTAGACCTGTATCAAATAGGTCAGTATAGGATATGCCATGTAGCTCTTCCATTCATAGATTCCTAGCTATAACACAGGTTTCATCTACTTAGACTTTTAAAAAACTATTCTCTAGCCACTCAGTTGAATTATCTCTATAATACTTAAGGAAAATCTAGACAAATTGAGCCCACACACCATGTCCAGAACCAAAATAGAACTGGATTTTCTTCAGATGTGCCTTAGAGGAATGATTTCAAATTCACAGCTAAGGACTTGCCCTGATAACCTGGCTCAACAGAGCTGGGATTTCTTTGTAGATCTGTTTCTAAACAACGAGCTGTCTTGGCTTTGTGGTGCCTCTTCTGGCCCACAGATACTTGGAGAGACTTCAGTCATTGGAAGTCAACCAGGAAGACAATCTAAATTTCGGCAAATTATGCAATCTTCACAAATGTTCTATATAACTACTCTCTTCGGTAAATTCTAATTTGCAGCTGCACTGTAGCATTTTTGCAGTTAGTAAATGAGGGAATAATGATGAAATGCCTTTGGAGGTAGAATCACTAGTACATAGACAATGACTAGAAGTTGCTATGGAGAGGAGTATGACACTGTTGATCCTAGCTTGGACAAGTGATAGATGATAACACCACTAACTAAGGCAGGGAACACAAAGGGATAAATGCCTGTGTTGGTGCATGCTGGGTTTGGAGGGCCACTACAACTTGCAAGTGGGAATGTCTAACTGGGGGTTGAAATGCATTTCCGTATTTCTAAACCAAAGTTAAGGTTTGGGATATAGGTTTGGGAATCACCTCTCTACCTATAGAAGGTTATTTAAATCTTGTGTGTGAATGACATCATCCAACAGAAAGTATAGACTGAGAAAAGAAGAGGACAGAGGTAAAAGACTTGGGGGGCACAGTTACATTTAGGAAATGGATAGGGGAAGAGGGGCCAGCAGAAGTTGCTGCCAAAAATATAGTAGAGTACCAGGAAGGAGGGTCTCGGGAGGCAAGGCAGGGAAGGGTGCTCAACAACGACAGTGAGGTAGAAAAGGATCAGAGCAGCTGCTGGACCTGACCATGCAGATCCAGAAACTCATACCCGAAACCTATGGGCCCATGCTTCAAATCCAGCAGTTACCAGATTTTAGATAGGCAAAAACAGAACGTATACCAAATACATGAATATGTCTCCAGTAAGAAGTATGAATAAAAGTGAATAAAAACTATAATGACCCTTAGGTCAGGTCTAGTCAGGGTTTGCTGTCTAATTAGTTGAGAAAAAAACTTAAAGTTTTCAGAGCATGCGGACTTCGGAGCTATGGATAGAGCATCGTGGATCCATGGTTGCAGGAGATCAGTGAAGTGGAAGCCAGACCACAGCAGATGAAGATACAATTGAGAGACCAGGAAGCAAAGGAAGATAAAGTTTTTTGAATACAGGAATGAGAGCAAAGGAAGGATGGATTGCAGGGGAAGCCATATCAAGGAAATGATTAGTGTTTTTAGGGTGTTGGAGCATTTGGACTGCTTAGCAGGTGAATAGGGAGGAAATCATGGATCAATGGAAATATGGACTAATGGAGAAGCATGTAAGATAATGGAAATAATGGAAGGTAAAAGGCCCTACAAGAGAGGATGGCCTAGTGGCACAGGTGAGCTCACAAAGTGGCCTTCAAACTGGTGGGAGATCTGCTTCCTCCAAGATGGGACCTAAGGGTATAAGGTTAGGATAAAGGAACAGAGAATCTGGAGGTGAAAATGGTGGATAGTCCGCATATGTTACTTTTCTAAGTCAGTCTCTTTGTAGCTTACGGCAGGAGTAAACCTCATTGAAGATTTCATATTCCACCACCTTTATTGGAGAATAAGAGATTAATTCTCTCAACTACTCTAGTGAAACATTCATGTACATTCATTTACATTTGTCCATATTAGACACTTCCATTCATAATTGCCTTAGTTGAATATTTCTTTGGATTGGTGCACTTTATTCAAAAAGACAGTTAGTATAGTTGGTTAGTTAATAAAAATGGTAAGTTGGTTGATATGATGGAGTCTAAACTATAATAGTATTATATATTAATTACATATATTTATTATACAAATATTCTTATAAGGAAATCAAAACTGTCTTCCCATATAAATTGTCATTATTTACACTAAGTTACTGCCTGCATGGAAGATTCAGATTTTAGGAATCAGGCTTTTGTTCAATTTAATATATGGGGGAATGCCACATAGGGAAAAAGAAAAAAAAGAAGCTTCATTTCTTGGAGCTGCAGTTGACCAAGAGAATGATTCATATCCCTTTCCTGAGAATATTTCTATTTCTTTCCTTTCCACTGATTTCACCTGCTTTAGAAAGTCTGCAGTGACAGTTTATTAAATCATCACTTCATGTTAAAAAGTGCCAATTGCAGCAGCAGGAATCCACATTACCCCCACCTACATTCCTCAGTAAATGAAAACAGGCAGCGAGTAATGGATTTACAGTACAGTGGATTTATTGGTAGCACATTTCTTCTCAGCCTCTACTTTCCTTAATCCTGGGTCCTCTCTATACTTTAGAACTGTAGCCAATTAGGGTATTTATAAACTACAGGCTGTTTCGTATGGCCATGATCTTCACAGAGCCAAATCAGTCTTTCACTCACCAGATAAACATTTAGATTTACAACTGGAAATTTCTCATATTTTACCATTCAAATCCCCAAAAGTACTACACAGCAAAGGTCAAATGTTCACTATTGTAAGTTTTCTCTATTTTTGTTGACCAGTAATCTTTATGAGTTTTTTCTGTAAAAAAATTCAGGCGTGCCTGGGTGGCTCAGTCAGTTAAATGTCTGATTTAGGCTCAGGTCATGATCTCACAGTTCATAGATTTGAGCCCCGTATCGGGCTCTGTGCTGACAGCTTGGAGCCTGGAGACTGCTTCGATTCTGTATCTTTCTCTCTGCCCCTCCCTTGTGCGTGTTCTCTCTCTCAAAAAATAAATGAGTAAACATTAAAAAGTTTTTAAATCAGATTTTCAAGTTCCTGTGGATGTTACCTTTTAGCTCATAAAGTTTCTAATTGAGTCAAGATTCTACTCAATCTACCAACTTCCACAACTATAACTTCATTGGAACTTAGTGGCCTAGAGTAAGAACAAATGTGATATTTAAGTTAAATATGATCCCACATAGCAGTTAAGAGAGAGTGTCTGTAACCTAGTATAACCTTTTTCCACACTAATGGTAAAGTGGTGCTTGGCCACCTCATGGTGCAAAAGTTTTCCTCGGCTTTCCTGCGGTAGAATTTTAGCCTGAAGTCTAATTTTTTCCCCAGCATCATTTAAGATGCAAGGAAATTACAATGTCTACCAAAGGGACCCTGATACTTACCAGATGTTCAGTTTAGTATGAAAGCCTTTCAGCAAGAGAGTAGGGCTGAGAAGGATGTCTTTGTGGGGAAACTGAGCCAAAGAAGAACTTTACCTTGATCTTGGAAAGAGTGTATATATAAATCTGGTGCTAATAATAAACAAATTACCTTCGTATTTTCCTCAGTGAGAATTAAGGTATCAAATTCCCAGCCTACTGTTTTATTTTGCCAACATAGAACCAGGCATAGATGTTAAAAATGTACTGGGTAAAAGGGACCGACTCTAAGTAGGTCTCTTTTAATTGACATTTTTGTCTTTAGTTGTCATTCTCTTGTCTGTCAGGAGACCTTGAAACCTAATATACTGGAAGCCACATCACTAAGAATGACAGAAATGGCAATGTTTATCTAGCATTTACTACGTAACAAGTATTCTCCTAAACTTTACATGTAGGATCTTCTAACGAGGGGCGTTTTCCTCTTGCTCCATTTTCTCCTGATAATAACTGTCACTGCCTTTCAGAATAAAACTTTGTTCTCCTCTTAGAATTTGTCTTCCCTGCTGTCTCCCCTAATTTGTAGGCCATTTATGCCTATGTTACTAATGTATTTGCTGTTGCTCTCAGGGGACTTTTAGCGTGAATATCAAATGGCAGCTAAACACTTCAAGCAAAAACTGGCTTTCTGGTTTTCTTTTTAAGATTTTATTTTTAAGTAATAAAATCTACACCCACCGAACCTACAACCGTGAGATCAAGAGTCACATGCTCTACCAACTGAACCACCCTCTTTTGTTTAATGACATTGTTTCTTCTTTTCTTTTTTCCAAGAGAGGCTTCACGATCAACTGTGACCAATTTTAACTACCACCAGAACCTTCTCCATACAAGTGACTTTTTCCACCTTGAAAAAAGCATTCATGTTCTTGGAATTACTCTTTAGCCATTGTGAAAATGCCTTTGCTTTATTCATGTTTTCCAGGACGTTGTATCTGCGGGTTTAGCTTCACTCCAGATGTGAAACTTAAAGTACAGTGTTTTATAATCTTTTTTCTTTCAGTTCTGAGAGATGTGGTCCTTCCCCCTAAACCAGACCCTGAAGTCTCTCAGCGTGAACCTGGTAAATAAATTACTTTATTTCCCCAGCTTGGAAGCATGGTTTTCAAAAAGAAAAATGTTCTTGAGGCAAATATATATTTAATGATTGTGATGTGGAACAAGGTTGGAGAAAATTATAGATCTAAAATGTGTAATTTTTTTGTGAAGATTTAATCTTACAAATTGCTTGAATTTTTTTTCTGCTTAACATGAGGGAATAGTATATAATTAGTTTATTTTCCCTGGAAGTGTTTCCATTGAAAAGGAGATCATGCTAAAATTATAAGACATATTTATTAACTGAGCCAACCATTTTTTTTTACTTTCTTTCAAAATGGAAATATAACTCCATTCCAACTGTGGGTGTAATGTAAGTCAAAAACGTGCATGCCTACTCAAAAATTTTCCTCAGAGTCATAGTGAATGAGATCTTTAAAGTTTTAGCTAAAGTAAGCTTCCTAAGTAGCATCTAATATGTAGAATTTTCTCATATTTATTGTATTTCTTGGAGAATGTTTAAATGTTCAAATGGAAGCATATAGGAACACAGAAACAATGTTTACTTCACCAGGTAGTAAATTCTCATAAATATATTTCCTCGGTTTGCTTTTGGCCTAGTTCTGCAACCTGTTACCTTTAGAATTGATCCACCAGAGACAACAATAGGTAATGGTTTCCCCCTATCAACCAACTCTAATTGTTTGCTTTGCTACAGTCTAATTGCAGGTCTTGCTCAACTTATCATATTGAACACCCTCTCTTCTTAATCCATTTCATCATCTCATTGTCATCTCATCATCATACTCCTACTCTTTCCAAAATAGAAAAGCAACGATTTCACTGTTGTGAAGGCTTTGCTCTGAAGACCAACCTAAGGCAGCTTATTACTGAGTTCTTCTTCACCTACCTCATTTATTTCCATGTTCAGAATGATTCCACGTGCTCATGCCCATCCAGTTAACATTTTCAGCACTTTCGGTGGTTCTCAGCTGTAGTGTTACAACACACTAGCATGACCAGTTGTGAAAAGTTCTGGCAAGTAATTACTGTTAATATCTGTAAAAATACTGAAATTTGCCAATGGTCTGTTTTTAAAAATAAACTTGAGGAGACTCAATATGAGACACCACTACAATAATGAATATTTCCACTCATTTTGTAATCCTGTATGTTCTCTAGGATGGGGGTGGGGGAGAGAGAGACAGAGAGAGAGCGTGCGAGCGCAAGCATGCACCACAGCTGACAGACCAAGATTGTTTCTTACTCATATCCCATCTTAACCAGGGGTGGTCATGGAATGTGCCAGACACTGAATGTTATTTCCTATCTATCCTGGTGGTGGAAAAAAACAGTTGAGAACCATTATTCTTATATTCCACAGTCATTTTTGTGAAGGTTCTGTGTACACCTAACTTGATTCTTCATGATCCACCTAATATCTTCCTTTTTCCGCTTCAAACGAAGGAATCTTGTGTAATATCATTCTGGCTTGGTGCTGGATTTTGCATCTCAAGATTGATACCGCTCATACTTTTCTTTTCCAGCTCCTTTAGAGACACGAGGCAGCCCTTTTATACCTATGATCTCACCAAGCACTAGTCAGGAGGAACTGCAAAGCACTCTGGGTAAGTTTTGATTTCATATTTCAGTCCAATGAGGGTCTACTTTTTAGGGATTGCCCTTAAAGTAGCCATATGTACCTTGTGTTGATGGGTTGTTTCCAAACAATAGAGGGTCTTTTTCTACCATTATAAAAAATAGCCATTTCACTTGATTCTTTTACATTAATTGTATTCTGTCCTTCTAATAGTTATGTTGGTTTTCAATAGAAAATTAGAATATTTTAAAATATCCTGATAAAATTTTAATTATTCTAAGAAGAATGTTCCCAAAATGTATCAATTCTATACTTTTTGGTTGCTTTTCCATATTGGAAGCTGCCTTTGGAAAGAATTTCATCTAGTATTTACAGAATATTTTATGGGTGCTAAGTGAAATGCTAAGCAACCAGAATTCCAAAAAAGAAACTGTTTTGAGAGTGAATCCTTATCCTAGCGAGTTCAGCATCTAAGAATACGAAGGATTTAGTGATGGTAGTACTTCCTCCATACCACCCAGTGGGTTATGTGTATGTTTAATTTCAGTCACATAACATTTGTGAGGTAGGTTCTATTACTTACCCCATTTTACACATTAGAAAATTGAGGCATAGAGAGATTTAAAAAATTGGCAAAGTCACACAGCTAATGTCAAAGCTGGATTGGAACCCACATACTCAGTCACCAGAGCTCCTGAGATTCACCCCACTATTGTTCAAAAAATGAGTGTGACAGAAAAATGAGCAACATGCTAAACAAACAAACCACCAGGCATATTAGGGGAGGCTTCACAGAGGAGGTGATACTTACCCTGGATTTTCAAGTTGGGGTGACAGTTGAAGTTAAAGATGTGAAAGGTCCTTTCAGGTTAAAGACCGATGGGACAGAGGCAGCGGCAAAAATGATAGTCAGGCTAATCTTATGGGCATGTGAGTCACCTCGAGAAAACAAGGAAGGATAGAAGCAACAGGAAGGTTGGTGGGGATGAGTGGGCCATGTTTTTAAGGAGTTCAGCACCAGTGTATTCACTGAATGGGAAACCCCAGTTTGCTTGACCCCCAACTGAAAATAAATCAGAAACCAAGTGTTCACACTTTGTTTTTGCTGGTTCTTCTGCCCTGCCCACACTGCATACCATGTGGCTGTGTTTAAATCACTGGCCTTATTTTCTTCCCTTTGTCCCTTTTCAAATAAACCTATCTTTTGTGTGTGTCTACTGAGATGAAATTACTGATCACATTTCAAAATGAAATCATTTTTGAAGGAAAAAAAGTGAAACCTGAGCAAATACACCCTAATTTCCAAATACCCATTTATTCTAGCCATGGCCTTCAAAGTGAACATCACCCATGATGGCAAAGCCAAAAGTACTCTTCAAGAACCCCTGCTAGATAGACTAATTATCTAACTTCTACTACCTATTTGTTTAAGTGCGTCTTGGTTTATTGAAGCAGGGACCATCACCTGCCAACTCACAAGTATCTCTGCTATGAGCAAAATCCAGATTACAAAGCAGGGCAGAAAAAAAGATGACTGTATATTGTATGTACCAAGTATTTCCTTGGATACAGTTCATGGCAAAGTGGACGATGTAAATTGCTATGTCTACATGATGCTGTGATGACTTCAAAACATTATGGGAGTAGAAGTATTGCAATTTTTTTTTATTTTGTCAGAAGAAATGTGTCTATGTCAATAAACAAACTTTGATTCTCACATGACATTAGTAGATGAATGTTTATTCTTACATGGCATGAACGCACCTCTTTTCATAAGATGTATTTCTTTTCCAGCTCACATAAATAGTTGATGGTATAGAGAGGAAGCATGAAGGCAACAATAGATAAAAGCAGTTAATAGACACAATTCAAGAACAGCCATGTCCAGGATCATGAAACAATAATCGTGAACTAAAAGCTTTTGGAAATCCTTATAATAATTATTAAAACAATAGTGCACGAGGATAGTAAATAGAATAAATGAGTTACTAAAATGTACCTTTAACCTTGAAATATTATGATGACTGGGCATACTTATAAATGCAATTTCCTGTTTACCATTGCATGGGGTGGAAATAAGTGTGGGTTTTTTGACAAGTTCATAATGATAATTATTTAAAGTCAGCCACCTTGCTCTATTTGTCCCCAGCAGAAACAGAACAGTCCACCCAAGAATTCTTTACAACTAAGATTCCACCAACAACTGAATTGACAAGGACAACTCAGGGTAATGCTATTTCCCCATTTCTGTGTAGTAAATTTTTATTTTCATTTTTAATCAGGAAAGAAATTTTCTTTTCAAAATGTCAATTTTCATCACAGTGAATTAGTTTTCTTCATTTCATAGGTGCAGGATATCAGCCGAATATGAATATTGATACGTACTTTACTTGAATGTAGGGAAGACAGTTTCTTTAGTTAGAACTTTGCTTTTGAATGTATGGTTGACAACTTGATGCTGATAACTAAGAATGAAAGTGCCCTTTTTTCTTTGCTTATCTTCATTTGCTTTTTTTCCACATCTGATAAAATTTTTTATTACCTTTTTGTTCTTCCCCATTCTTTTCTTTCGCCTCCTCTTCCTCCCCATCTTGCTTCCCCGTCCTCCTTTCTCACTCTCTCTTCATCTTCCTCTATCCCCTCTCTTTCACTTAATAAGCACATTGATATTGTAGCCTGAGGAAGGAAACTAGTAGTGAGAAAAATCATTTTTTTAAGATGACTTCATATTTGGGTTACCTGGGTGGCTCAGTTAACTGAGAGTCTGATTCTTGATTGTGGCTCAGGTCATGATTCCAGGGTCATGGGTTTGAGCCCCACAACAGGCTCTGTGCTGAGCATGGAACCTGCTTAAGATTCTCTCTCTCCCTCTACCCCTCTTCTTTACGTGCTCTCTCTCTCTCTCCCTCTCTCTCTCAAAGAAAATGACTTAATATTTAAGTATCTAGGGAGGGTTTGGGGGAGATTTCCTTCTTTTATTTCTTTCTTCCAACTTTTTGGGAAGTGTTACCTACACAAAGCCCTATCTTACCTTCATGCTCTCAGAAATTTTGCCTTTTTTTAATTTTTCTATGTTACTTAGGTTATAAACAGTTGTGGATTTCTTATGTTTTTGTGGTTTCTTTTATTTTTGTTCTGAAGGATCCCTTTTGCTCATCTCTACCTCTTTTATATGGTAGGAATCCCCAAAAAACAAAAAAAGTAAACTTATTTTACTTATTGTCAGTTATAATTTGTGAACAAAATGTGGAGGAAGAAGTTTGAAATTATAGATAATGATGATGAAAAGAAATCTAATTTAAAGATTTCATAAGTAGTACTTATTCTAAATAAACATGACTAGAGCACCTATGGCTGAGGATAGTTTTTTTTTCAATATATGAAATTTATTGTCAAATTGGTCTCCATACAACACCCAGTGCTCATCCCAAAAGGTG